GTGTCATGGTACGTGGTCTGTAGTTTGCTACTTCTCTGTACGAAGTGCCAGTCCTGCCGATTACCTCCAGCCCAGGGAAAGCTCCTGTTCACTCGCTGTATTGTGGTAAGACGATGTTACAGAAATGCATTTATCTACCCAAAGGCCTAGCTCCACTGGGCACTTTATTTTTAAAAAACCTGTTTTGTTGAATGAGATGTGAAGATACTCAAATAAAGGCAGAATGACGGCGTTTGACACTCCCAGCCTTCGCTTCGGCAGCCTGGGCGAGCAGGGGCAGCAGCTCCTCTCCCGTCCCTGCGGCTCAGCCAGCGCCCAGGGGAGGGACCGGCACAGACAACGGCAATTCCCGCTCCCGGAGCAGGACGCAGGCTGTAGAGAGCTGGGGCTGGATGCAGCTCAGGCCGCGCTACGCTCGTACACACATAAGCATGTCTTGCTCTCCCCACCACGCACCTCTGCCGCCTCCCAGCCCTGAGCCAGTGCCAGTTCGGGCAGCCGGTGGCACCGGACTGCTCACAAGCCCCGCCGGGCTCCGGGGTGCCGACCACCGCAGAGGGGACAGCTGGGCTGAGCCCGCAACAGGCAGAAGACAGGCAGGGAACGTGCCCCTGCCAGCTGCCCCCTAGGGTAACAGAGGCCAGCAAGCTGCGGGAGGACGTTCGCTACCACTTTATTATGACAAAGGCTACAAGCCACATTATTTTTAAAGTGCATTATTATTCACCGTCAACAAACCACAGACACAAGCCTGGCGTAGTGCAGATAGGGCCAAGGTGGCAGAGGACTCTGAGCCGAGAGCAGGGCTGGGGGGAGCCAGGCGGATAGAGGCGGCAGGAGGCGACGGGGAGTGGGACTCAGGCACGTGCCGGGGTACAAGCGCTGCTCCAGACAGACCCAAACCCCTCTGAGCCCCAGGAAGGTGTCACAGACAGCAGGAAGGACGGAGAGACAGCCTTGCCTGCTGCAGTGGGAGGCTGGGAAAGGTCGTGCCAGGGAGGGCTTGGCTCCCAGGGCAGACCCAGCACCCCTCTGCGTTCATGGACCGTGCGGCTGGGACAGGGCTGCGCCTTGGGAGCCCTGTGGTTCCCCAAACGAGCGGGGAAAGGGCCCCAGAGGGCTTGGCTCCGCGGGCAGCCCCAGCACCCCTCTGCGTTCATGGACCGTGCGGCTGGGACAGGGCTGCGCCTTGGGAGCCCTGTGGTTCCCCAAACGAGCGGGGAAAGGGCCCCAGCACTGCTCACTTCCGTGCGGTGCCCCCAGACAAACATCACCCGCCCTCCGCACCACTGCCCCAAAGGGGGTGATCAGCCGGGCTCCCCACCAGAGGAACCGTCTCGGTGCCGTCCCAGGAGCCCAGCGCTGGACGCCCGCAGCTCCAGGTTCTCATGACCCCTGGACAACCCTGTGTGGTGCCCAGCGGAGCACCCTCCGGCACCCAGCACGAGGCCGGGTGGTCGGCTGGCAGCCTATG